CACTTCCTGTGTATGCTGTATCCGCTAAAGAGCAAGACAGGACCTCAGCGGCATAGTACTCAACTGCAGAATTTCCTCTTGATCATTCGAAATGTATTACAGCGCTCTGACACAAGGTCTTTATTTATTCTGGTATCTGTAATGTGTATACAAGGTACCTGAGGGTCCTGTTAAAAATACAGGTTTGGCTGGGTGCGGTGGTTCACACCTGTAATTCCAGCACTTTGGGAGGCTGAGGCGGGTGGATCACCTGAGGTCAGGAGTTCGAGACCAGCCTGACCAATATCATGAAACCCCATCTCTACTAAAAATACAAAAATTAGCCAGGTGTGGTGGCATGCGCCTATAATCCTAGCTACTCAGGAGGCTGAGACAGGAGAATCACTTGAACACGGGAGGTGGAGGTTGCAGTGAGCCGAGATTGCTCCCATTACACTCCAGCCTGGGCAACAAGAGCAAAACTCCATCTCAAGAAAAAAAAAAATACAGTTTCTAGGGGAGGAGGAGGAAGAAAAAAAATTAACGTTCTGATTTAGCAGTTCTGGGTGGGGCCTGAGATTCTGAATTTCTAACAGTACCCCAGGGGATGTGTTAAAATCATAAGGTATTCTCTCTTTGGTTCTTTTAGAAAGTTCTTTGAAACACACATGATTAACTGCGTTTTCACTCAACAGCATTTGTTTGCCAGATGCTATGTAGATGAGGGCCTAGTTTGCAAATATCTCATAGTTGAATGGTGAGCTGAATCAAGTGCAATTTGGGTTTATGGCCTTTCTTTCTTTCTTTTTTAAATTTTTACTTTGATTTATTTCACAGAAATTCTTTGGTAACTACAGAAATTAGTTAACAATTAATTTAGAATTTTTCTTTGTGATTTAAAGAATTATTTTACTAACTGCACAGATATTATTATAATTGTGTTAATGTCAAATGGAGAGAAAAGGGCTGGATGAGGTGACTCATGCCTTATCCCAGCACTTTGGGAGGCTGAGGTGGGTGGATCACCGGAGATCAGGAGTTCGAGACCAGCTTGGCCAACATGGCAAAACCCTGTCTCTACTAAAAATACAAAAATTAGCCAGGTGTGGTGGCATGTGCCTGTAATCTCAGCTACTCAGGAGACTGAGGCAGAAGAATGTCTTGAACCCAGAAGGCAGAGGTTGCAGTGAGCCAAGATTGCGCCACTGCACTCCAGCCTGGGCCACAAGAGTGAAAGTCCATCTCAAAAAAAAAAAAAAAAAAAGGGAAGAATATTGTTTCTATGATCTGCCCACCCGGTAAATGATACTGCTCTTTTTCTGTTTTAGTCCTTGGGCATGGGCATTTTTTGTTTTTACGTGGTTGTGAACATTGCTGGGAAACAATATTGTATTCTGCTTTTTAAATTTAGAGAGAATTTAGAGAATAAATAGAAAGTTTTAAATTTCTCCATCAACTGTTGAAATATTGTTCTTTATTCATAAGTTGATATGTTCTTTCTTGGTGGAGTTTTCTTATACTTTAAACTTTCCTGGTAAGAGAAAGTTAACAAAAGGGTTAGGGTTATGGTAGTAAACAATATGTCATATAAAACTAAGATAATAATATCTGGAAAGCAAAGTATGTTTTTTTTTTAACTTATTGGAGTGACTTATAGTTAGAATTTTCTCATTAAGTGAGAGAAAACGAATTGTATGTTACCTGAATTGTTTTTGAAAAGAGGGCCTTGCTCTGTCGCCCAGGTCTGGTTGCAGTGGTGATCCTCCCACCTTGGCCTCCCAAAGTGCTGGGATTGCAGGCTTGAGCCACCATGCCTAGCCTGTTACCTGAGGTCTTTAAAGTAAAAATCCAGGTGCAGTGGATTGCTCCTGTAATCTCAGCATTTTGGGAGGCCAAGGTGGTAGGATTGCTTGAAGCGAGGAGTTCAAGACCAGCTTGGGCAACATAACAAGCTCTCATCTCTACAAAAAGTAAAAAGTAAAATTAGCCAAGTGTGGTGACCTGCGCCTATAAGATCAGCTGCTCAGAAAACTGAGGCAGGAGGATCACCTGAGCCCAGGAGTTCAAGGCTGCAGTGAGCCAGGATCATGCCACTGCACTCCGGCCTGTGAACAGAGTGACACCCTGTCTCCGAAATAAAAGAAGAAAAAATCTAGTGTCTGTATAGACAACCTGTTTGTCTTCATAATATATTTGACGTGAAGATTTTCCTGTCATATCCCCTAGAATATGGGTTCTTAATCTGAGATCTGTAGATTTAGGGCAGTGTTTCTCAAATTGTGGGCTGCAGAATTACAGGTGTGCTTGGAAAAAATGAGAAGTCCATCCATACACTCCTTTAGGCCCTCCTGTCATTTTCTGGTTCAGTAGGTCTGGGATGGAACTCTGCAGTCTGAATTATAACAAGTAGCCTACATGATTCTTCTGCAAATGAGGTTTCATAATTACTGCTTCAGGCAAGCCATGGTTTGGCTCTGAGGGAATTTGTAAACTTCTGAAATTGAATAATTTTTTAGGGTATAGATTATTTATTTTGGGGGGAAGAGGCTTTATTTTTTCTTCTCTTTCAATAAATTTGAAAGGAAGAGGCTTTATAAACCTCTCATTTAGATTCACAAAGAGCACTGTCATTCAAAAAGGATTAAGTCATTGTCCCAGCTCTGCCTCCTACAGGCCTCTTTGGTTTTTAAATAATTCTTGGTTTTCTTTTAGCATAATGAGGGCATTTTATCCATGAGGTTTTTGTTTGTTTGTTTGTTTGTATTGTGGCTTTTCATTTTTATTTAGAGACAGGGTCTCACTCTGTCACCCAAGCTAAAGTGCAGTGGTGCAGTCACAGCTTACTGCAGCCTCGACCCCCTGGGCTCAGGTGATCCTCCCACCTCAGCCTCCTAAGTATCTGGGACTACAGACATGTGCCACCATGCCCAGCTAATTTTTGTATCATTTGTAAAGACAGAGTTTCTCCATGTTATCCAAGCTTGTCTCAAACTCCTGGGCTCAAGTGATCCTCCTGCCTTAACCTCTCAAAGTGCAAGGATCATAGGTGTGAGCCACTGCGCCTGACCATGGCTTGCCTTTTTTTTTTTTTTTTTTTGGAGATGGAGTCTCACTCTGTTGCCCAGGCTGGAGTGCAACGGTGCGATCTCAGCTCACTACAACCTTCGCCTCCCAGGTTCAACCGATTCTCCTGCCTCAGCGTCCGAAGTAGCTGGGATTACAGGCACGCACCACCAGTGGGCTCAGCTAATTTTTTTGTATTTTTAGTAGAGACGGGGTTTCACCATGTTAGGCTGGTCTTGAACTCCTGACCTCGTGATCCACCTGCCTCGACCTCCCAAAGTGCTGGGATTACAGGCATGAGCCACCGTGCCCAGCTGACCATGGCTTTTTAATCTACCATTTCTTTGCTGCTTTTCAGTAAAATGAATTTTAATCCCCTCATAATTAAACAATTTTTAGTATTGAAACATACAATTTTTCAAGAACACCTTTTACAGATAATAATAATTTATAACTTTTTTTATCGAGTATAACAATGTGCTGTTTATTTTACCCACTGTAGTACCTAGTTTATTTTAATTTATCCTCACAGCAACTCCATGAAGTAACTATTATTTATTTCTTTTTTTTGAGATGGAGTCTCACTGTGCTGCCCAGCTGGAATGCAGTGATGCAGTCTTTGCTCACTGCAACCTCTGTCTCCCAGGTTCAAGCAATTCTCCTGCCTCAGCCTCCCAAGTAGCTGGGATTACAGGCCCGCACTTCCACGTCCAGCTAATTTTTGTATTTTTAGTAGATACGGGGTTTCACCACATTGGCCAGGCTGGTCTCGAACTCCTGTCCTCAAATGATCTGCCCTCCTTGGCCTCCCAAAGTGCTGGGATTACAGGCGTGAGACACTGCGCCCAGCCGAAATAACTATTATTATGCTCATTTGACAAATAAGGAAATTGAGGCATAGAATACTTAATTAACATAACCAAATTGACATAATTTATCAATGATGAAACCAAGATTTGGCTTATTCTATCTGACTTGAAGGGCAATTCTGTGTACTTCTGCCTGTTTGTGCAAATCAATCACATTTGGTTTGTCAGTGAATGGAAGATGTATATATACAATGGAATACTATTCAACCTTAAAAGAGAAGGAAATTCTGTCATTTGTGACAGCATGGATGAACCTGAAGGACATCATCCTAAGTCAAAGAAGCCAGATACAGAAATAAACATATTACATGATCTTATTTATATGTAGAATCTAAAAAGGTCGAAATCATAGAAGCAGAAAGTAGAATGGTGCTTGCTAGGGATGGAGTTGGGGATGGGGAGATGTTGGTCAAAGGGTACAAAGTTTCAGTTATTTAATATGCATAAATTCTAGAGATCTCAAGTACAGGATAGGGACAATAGTTAATAATACTGTAGTGTGGCTGGGCACAGTGGCTCATGCCTGTAATCCCAGCACTTTGGGAGGCCGAAGCAGGTGGATCACGAGGTCAGGAGATCAAGACCAGCCTGGCTAACGCGGTGAAACCCCGTCTCTACTAAAAATACAAAAAATTAGCCAGGTGTGGTGGTGGGCGCCTGTAGTCCCAGCTACTCCAGAGGCTGAGGCAGGAGAATGGCATGAATCCAGGAGGTGGAGCTTGCAGTGAGCAGAGATCGTACCACTGCACTCCAGCCTGGGTGACAGAGCGAGACGCCGTCTAAAAAAAAAAAAAAAAATACTGTCATGTATACTTGGAATGTGTTAGGAGAGATCATAAGTGTTCTCACCACACAGAAAGGTCACCATGTGAAGAGATGGACATGTTAATTAGCTTCACTACAATAACAGTTCACTATGTGTATGTGTATCAAAATATCACACCTTAAATATATATAATTTCAATTAGTCTTTTTTTTACTAAATTGAAGATGATGGTTATATGGTGCTTTTAGATGATTGTGAATTGTACCTATGGATTAGCCTTTTTTAAAGATTCTGATTTTGAGTATTTTGTTATTTCTTTTTAGATCAAAGAAAGTGCATCACAGACAAGAGATGTTCTCAAACAGCATTTTAATGATTTAAAGGGAACCCTTGGAAAGCTCCTGGATGAGCGATTGGTGACCCTTTTGCAAGAGGTGGACACCATTGAACAGGAGACCATTAAACCACTAGATGACTGCCAGAAGCTCATAGAACACGGAGTCAACACTGCAGAAGACTTAGTCCGAGAAGGTGGGAGACCAGGGATCCTGTTACATTAGTGCATTAGTACATTTTCACACTGCTGATAAAGACATACCCGAGACTGGGCAATTTACCAAAGAAAGAGGTTTAATGAACTTACAGTTCCATGTGCCTGGGGATCATGGCAGAAGGAGAAAGTCACGTCTCACATAGCGGCAGACAAGAGAAGAGAATGAGAGCCAAGCGAAAGGGGTTGCCTCTTAAAATACCATTAGATCTCATGAAAGTTATTCACTACTGAGAATAGTATGGGAGAAACTGCCCCCATGGTTCAATTATCTCCCGTCGGGTCCCTCCCGCAACACATGGGAATTATGGGAGTACAATTCAAGATAAGATTTGGGTGGGGACACAGAGCCAAACCTATCACATACTAAATGTGATTCGTTCAGATTGACATTTTGCAGATTCCTCAGGATAGCAGCAGGCTTCTTGCCAGCTGTGGGGTTCTTAGAATGTTCTTACCTAGAGACAGTTTGTGATATAGGATGACAGATATACAGTTAGGCATCCCATGGCAACTGCAGTTGAAGTGTTAGTTATAATTAGTTATAAAACAAGAAAGAATAAATGATATGGGGCACATTGAGATGTTTTGATACGGGCATGCAGTGTGTAATAATCACATTGTGGAAAATGGGGCATCCATCCTCTCAAGCATTTATCCTCTGTGTTACAAACAATCAAATTACACTTTTTTTTTTTTTTGACACAGGAGTCTTGCTCTGTTGCCCAGGCTAGAGTGCAGTGGCGCTATCAAGGCTCACTGCAGTCTTGACCTCCCTGGCTCAGGTGATCCTCCCACCTCAGCCTCCCAAATAGCTGGGATTACAGGCGCGTGCCACCATGCCGGGCTAATTTTTGTATTTTTGGTAGAGACAGGGTTTCACCATGTTGCCCAGTCTGGTCTTGAATTCCCGGTCTCAAGCAGTCTTCCAATTTTGGCCTCCCAAAGTGCTGGGATTACAGGTGAGAGCCACCACAATTATAGTCTCCACTGTTCTGCTTAAAGAGTTAAAAAAAGTGATTGGTGTTTACTCCTATCTTCAGCCAACTGAGTCATGCCCTGCTGCCTTCCTTTCTTCATTCTACTCACCTTCCTTCAACATAGATCTTTGTCAGGCACATAACATAAACAAGGGGGCCAGATGCAGTGGCTCACGCCTATAATCCCAGCACTTTCGGAGGCTGAAGCAAGTGGATCACTTGAGGTCAGGAGTTTAAGACCAGCCTGGGCAACAGCCTGTCTCTACAAAAAAAAAAAAAAAAAAAATTAGCTGGGCATGGTGGTATGCACCTGGAGTCCCAACTACTTAGGAGGCCGAGGTGGGAGGATCGCTTGAGGCCAGGAGATTAACGCTGCAGTGAGCCGTGATTGCACCACTGCACTCCAGCCTGGGTGACAGAGTGAGACCCTGTCCCAAAAAATATAAAATAAGAGTAAGAATAAAAGCCAGGTGCAGTGACTCACGCCTGTAATCCCAGCACTTTGGGAGGTCGAGGTGGGCGGATCATGAGGTCAGGAGATCAAGACCATCCTGGCCAACATGGTGAAACCCCGTCTCTAGTGAAAATACAAAAATTAGCTGGCCAT